GAAGGGGGGACCCGAGCGGGAGGAAAGACATTCAAGTAATTTGAAAAGACACTGTTATGGTAGGGAGCCCAAATATGGAAAAACTCTGATGAAAGAAGAAAAAATAGAGAGGATAACAAAATGAGTTGCAATTGAACTGGAACAGGCCTAGCATCAAAACAGATGCAAGAGGTTTTTTTGTTTACTTTAATGGTGTTTTTGCAAGTAATTTGTTATAATGGCTGACAATTTCAGGGAAAAACACTGGGTCCATACACAGTGAAAGATTGCCAATCTGTCCAACAATCTGTGTTGGCACAAACACAACCCTCCCCGAGCCTTTTCGGAATTGGACTCTCCATTCTCGATACTGGCCCAGACAACTAATGGTCAGAGAAACTGCATTTCTCCCGAGATGAGTCTGTCACGTAAGCGATGATGACCCTTGATTTGGCTGCGAAATGCACGTCATGTGTTGGACTTGGCCTTGTTAACAATTGTAAACCATCCGGCAATCAAGCTGCCCTCCCCCCAAACTCTACCCTACATTCCACCAACGAACATCCCTGCCTTCAATCACTTGTTTATCTATCAGCTCACTTTAATTGTCCGCTGGGTTTTTGACTGCACCACATTACATAAAAGCACACAGGAGCCTCATGGCAGCGGCATGACAGCCTCTGATGTAAAGCCTCACGCTTTGCACAGATAAGACGGGTTCAATTTTAATGTTGCTAGCACACCGAGACGCACCAGGCTCACTTGTAAAACAGAATGCCCCATTCGCTTGTAAACGCAGTAGCCCAAGAGGAGGAGAGAGGTGGGGGTTGGGCCGACTGAGGGGGGGTCTAAATTAAAAGGAGGAGAGGAATTCCACTTGCCCAGTTTCTGCAATCCATTCAGTGGATCAATTTCTTCTCAAATTCCCAATCCATTCCCCATCTCTTTTAAAAACTAATACCCAATTCCAATCACAACAGCAGTAAAGCCTATCTTGTAAAAGGTCATAGCTTGACCTCTGAGTTGTCTAAATTGGATGTTGGTTGGCCCACTTTCCTTTGAAATACTGCACAGTCTGATATAAAAACTGCCCTGTACACGAGCACATCACCAGTGGGACTTGCATCCCTCCCATCAGTAGCTGTTCATTTTGATGTGAAGTGCCAGAGCACGGAGAGTTTAACAAGATTGGTTGTCCGTGTCGAGGTAAACAGGAATCAGAATTAGTGCATAGGGGCCCAGAAAAAAAATTGGGGGGATAGGTGTATCCGTTTGTGCATATGTGCTTGCCATAGGCAGCATGCAGGCATATAGTGGAGCATCTCCCCTGCAGCCAGCCAAGGGAACTGATCAGATGGACGATCAAACACTAATCATTCCCTCACGGCCCACACTGAGTAAAGCTGTCATTAATTTTGCGGAATTACATCAAATCTGAGACATTCTTTATGTGGCCCACGGCCTGTAGACAGTTATACGACAGGGACTGCTGCGCTAAGCAGATGGGGCAGCTTGGCCGTGCATACTAAATACTACCATCGCCCATTTCTCTATCTCCGCCCTCCCAACACTCTGCCCTCCTTCCAGGCACTCTGCTCCCGTTCCCTCTTTCTTTGTTTTCTACCCTTCTAATGCCTTTCCATCGCTATATGGTCACAGTCGTCACTGATTACCTAATTCATCTCACACTGATGGGCAATATATAACTCAAAAATGCTTGTACAGCTTTAAATGACGCCTTGGTAGAAAAGAAAATGGCTCTCACTTGTATTCAAAGAACACTACTCCCAGACAAATGACGCATTAATTTAGTATGATGAGGAAATAAACTGTTTACCAACATAAATCTTGAATGTTTGTCTCTTGGATGTTGACAACTCTAACAGTTTACTTGTCTATACACACAGAAGGTCATAATCCCATTTGAGGTTTCCTTGGCAACTGATTACTGCTGAAGGCAAGCTGCAATTTATGACTAGTGACACATACCTGCCATTCCCTTTGAATGAGACATGTGGTAAGCTATATTCAGACAGACCACCTAAGGTAATAAAACTGCAGTAGCACTCAGGGGCTATACCATTTTCTTATATTGAGAGGAATTCCAAGCCAGGCTGCTAGAAATCAGCAGACGACAGGGATTACATTGGCGTGGAATAGTTCCACAACCAATAAATAAACAGCATGTCGAGGCTTTTCTGCCAGAACAGTTTTCTCATCCCTAATGCTTAAAAGTGTTGATATTCATGCAGTTTACACATCGCAAAGGAAAAAGTGTAACGTCAGATGGTGTGTGTGAATGTGTGTGTGTGCGCACAGGGGGTGGGGGGTTATGACAGACAGAGGAGCCATAACAGCAGGCAGCCAGGTCAAGATCAAGCAGTTTCATGGACAATCCACTTTCAGTCTAGTCTCTATTAGTGTGAAGCTTCACATTCCTCCTGCACAGTCATCTTCTAACTTCACACAACAGTGACGCTTCAAAGTCAAGGCTATCCTGGGGTCTGCCATGAAGTAGCAGGACCACAGAAAATACCAACCAATTAGCAAAAAGGGAATAAGAAGCCCATAAGAAACAATTAGAAAATAAGATATGATTAATTCACAAAAAAATATTTTATATTCATGCATATTTGGCTTTTTATACTGATTAATTGAAAACATAATAAAGCAAAGCACAATTGCAACAAAATCTAAATCTAGACCTTGAACTTTTTTTTTTATTTCTAATGTCCCAGCCTAAAAACACATGTAAACAGAGGCTCTACTGAAAAAGCCAGTCATTGCAGTACAACCTATTTAATTATCCCACTGCATAGAGAGCCACTACTTCCAGCACCACTTTGCTCACAAGCTCAGCACTATTAATCCACTTAAACACAATTTATAGGGTCTACACATCGACTGTCCGTCGGCATAAAATTACATGAAGCGTCCTTATAGTGTCTTCAACAGACTAAATTAGCCAAACTGGACTTACTAATTGAGGGGGAGTAAAATACTGTGTGACTGGAATGTCTCATCAATGAGCAAAGATAAATAAGCAGGCTATAGGCAGTATGAGCACATCAATAACTAGAATAATACAGGGTGAACATTATTTAAGCTGTGGCTTCTGAAACAAGATTAATTTAAACACCAACTTTAATTTCCCATCTACTATCTGGGTTTTTGCATTTTGTGATTGTCGGCAATAAACTTGCTTCGTGCCAAGTGTACCGTCATTTCCTTAATCATTAATTTTTATGCTGATTTAAATTGAAATCTATTCACATCAAGTTCAAGTGTAATCATAAAGCCAATGTTTGAAAATACATTTTATTTAAAATCTCAAATTTAGGCATTTTGGCCTAAAAAATAAACAATTGAATAAATTACACTCCACATATAGAGTATCATTTTCCAGGGGAACTGTCACCTACTCAGCAAGTCATTAACTTTGCAGTTCTGTTCTACTATTTCTTGTAATATGCACTTTGAAAATGCAAAGTTGAGAGGATATCAGTCTTGCGGAATTTCAATTCCTTTCTCTCTGATTTCATTTGGCACCATAATTAAATTGTATATTCTAGCATCCCTGCATTATGTAAATAGGGTAAGATTACTTCACAAGGCCAGGGGCCAGTCTCTGGAAGCTAAAGAGCATGCACTGTGTGTTTTAGAGGTTTATGGATATGGTCTGGATGTGGAAAACATGCACAACAGTGGGTTTTCAAGATGGTATACTGCCATCTGCTGTCCAGCGCCAGAACATCATGCAGGTTCATTTGTGCCCCATCATATTTAAAGAGGAGATCTGAGGTGTCTCTCAAGACAGTGGCCAAAATGGAGCACACAGCAAAAAGTCGGATCACTGGATTTTTTGGGAAACCTTTTAATAAAACCTGAAGTCCCGAACAAATGTGGAAAATGGACTGATGTAAAACATCTGCAAGACTTATGTTCTACAGCAAAGTGAATGATCAATTCTGATAATAGCAGTTTTGTGCAGGTTACAAAGAGGATATTAACATCATTCACTGTGCAATACCAATTTTGACCTCCCCTGACTCAGTTATATTTAACCTCCGTCCTTTGTAAGCAAGATTACACAAAAATTACTGGACCTATCTCTATAAAACTTGGTGACAGGAAGGGGTGTCCTTTAACATTGTGAGATTGGACGTTTTTTGACATTTTCAAAATTTCCCAAGGGAAAATGAATGGATATTGAACAAAAATCAGGCACATTTAGGGATTTGATATCTACAAGTGTGTGCAATTTGGTGCAAGCTGATTGAATTAACGGGGACTGAACATAAGATAGAATAAAAATAAATACAAAAGCACAATATATTTAGATCAATGTCTAACATGTAAAGACAGCTATACCAATCCTTCCACAGCTGGCATTGGTAGCGTGTAATGGTAAAGCTAATACTAAATAAAACCAGAATGATTTCATTTTCAGTCTTTACATTTTCTAGTTTTCACATTTCCATGTACTTGTTTATTACTTTTTAGAGATGTTTCATTTCCCCTTTAGAAAATGTTCCTATCGTGGAACTATTACTGAAAACTAAACTAAAAATAACTAAATTTTATCTATGTTATCTTTGAACTGCATGAAACATAACAACGGCTTACAATAACAAAGCAGTCTGATGCAGGCCTCTACTACAGAGTCTTTACAATCTAATGGGATGTTACTAATCACCCAGAAATCACGGCAGAAAGTAAACAAGGGTCAAATCGCTCTTTTTCACTTGTTCTCATCGCACTGGTCAAACACAGATTTCCACTGGTCAGTCCCCACAACACCTCCCGACACCAGTGACGCTCCGTGCCTTCACATCCGGTGAGAAAAACAACGGCGGCCGATGAGGAGCGTCATGTTATGTTCAGTGCGATCTTGCGCTGCTGCGCTCTGAACTTCGGGACTTGTAGTTTAAGGCGCCGCAGTTCTACACTGAATTCATCGAGGCAGTTAACCACATCTCCCACAATGCCACAGTGGAAACAAGGCTGTCATGCTTGTGTTTTGCTTTGGTTTTTTTGTTATTGTTTCGGGTTTGTGGAGCAACTGAGCCCGAAGAGGACAGTGCGACTGTACCGCTGGTGTTTTCACCGTGTTTGATTCCGGAGGCTGGTAGAGAGGCCGTTCACACACAGAGGGAGAGAGAGAGAGAGAGAGAGAGAGAAGTGGCTCATCAACAAAGGTAAGAGCTCGGAGATGATGTGCGCAGATGTCTTAGTTAACAAAAGCCATTCTTGTCTTCCGTGATGTGCAGCACGTTCAATAACAACGGTGATAAACAGTGACAATCAACCAGCTTCACGTCTCCACCTGTAACATGTTCGATCGCAACATTGTCTTAAGACGCTTTTACATCGACGTGCATGGGACATCGGTTTCTCGACATGTGCTGCTGTTGGGCCTCAAAGCCTCGTGCTGAGTATTGTGAACCCTCTCAAAGCTGCTGTTTATTTGCGTCACTGATCTGAGGGTTTTTAAACGACATCTGCAAAATGTTCTGCGAAGCAAAAATTGTAGAACAGAGATGATGTACCTCAGATTTTATCTTTGTCAAGTGTTTGTGGTTCTCTGCCCATCTTTAAACCATAACCTCCAACTGCAAAAATCAGACTTTAAACTTTGCATATTGTGACATTTATTGTGGTAATTATCAATATTTATATCACTTTTGGCCACACTGTCCAGCCCCATCTACATTTCTTCTGCTCTGGGTCATTTGCATGTGTCTGTGGGAAAAATTTGAATTTCTAAATGACAGTTTGCATCCACTTTAGTTAGGCACATATGACATGTACTGGAATCAATACCCAGCACAATGCTACATGAATAAATAATACTTTCTGTAATTTATACGTCTCCAAGTGGTGTGTTTAACTCCAAGCAGGAAGGGCTTATAATTAAAGGAGAATATTTGTCAGTGGAATCTGAGCCCCTTCGTGCCAGGGGCCCCGGCACCTTTTCCTACATGGTTACACGTGACGGTGTACATTAGTAAATACTTTTGAAGATGACAGAAATAGCCCTAGTGACAAACATTCAACATGTCATTCTGCTCAAAGGCCATGTTGTCACTGAGTTTTAGCTCCGGTGTCCTTTCCTCAAGTTCCTCTGTCAGGATATCTTCTTACACTGAATAAATATTCACAGACAGCCAGCTCTCTGTCTCGTTTGTGCTCCAGCTGTCACCTCTTGCCTATTGCAAAATTAGCTCACCTTACCATGCCTGTTAGTTTCTACCTTGAATGTGTAGTAACCATCCTAAAAAAAGTTTGAACATTGTGTTTCTTCCTCTGTAGGCGCAGAGTAGCCTGCCTTTGTTTTTTGTTACCATGGAGAAGGATTGGCAAGTGGAGTTTAGGAACGTGGGCTGCAGTTACTTTCCTCAGAGCAGAGTCGATTGCCACTACACACTGAGCTCTTGGCACAACTGGGCCAGCAATGACTGGATAGGGCTCTTCAAGGTATCGTTAACCTGATGACTGTCAAATAAAGTAAATAAAGAGTAAGTACAAATATATATCCAAATGCAAAATAACAGTGTGGGCATGTTTTCCTCCACAGGTGGGATGGTCATCACTGAAGGACTACCACACATTTGTGTGGGCACTAGCCCCGGCTGACTATCAAGAGGGCACAGATGTCAACTGCTGTGTGCATTTCCAGGGTACTCCTGCCCTTATTTTCTAACAGTATTTTATTTCCCATAGTTAGCCAGAATCTATACAGTACAGTGCTTAGATCTGCACATAAACGCTTCAGCCGGAGATTGATGTTTCTGTAAATTGAATTGCTCTGTTGTGCAAAGGGCTAGTGACCATGGTAAAAACACTGTTATGTCTGTGTTTAAAGAGCATTTACACTGATGTCAAAGGGGAAAAAATATCCTGTGCACAAGACAAATATCCCTCTTGGCTCCTTCTTACACAGACACAGTCAGTGTCATGGTTTGAATAAATTTCTTCAGTAAGCAGGAGGTTGAGTAATGAGGATGACAAAGACAATGGTTCTGGCTCTGCTCTGGCTACCACTACTCACTGGCAAATACAGTGCACACTCTGTCCTGCCTGTCACTGGCAGCTGATAAGCCTGATTCAGTGTGAGGGGCACATGTGCAGCAGGTGTGGCACTGACCCCTGGTAAAGTGATTTATCACTAACCTAAGCATACTGTCAATGTCATTCTTCATTGGAAGAATAGCAGTGGAAAGAAAGTCTAAAAAAAACACTGATGGTCCCTTATCACTAGCGATGCAGTGAATTAAAAAGATGGTTGCCTGCACTGTGACCTATCGCTGAGGCTGTATGTTACAATACAGCTCATAAACTTTGCTGTATGTCATTCTTCCTGTCTGTTTTCCATCTCACCCCTTTACTGCACGTGTTGTGAAAGAGAAACTCAAACTAAATCATCCTACACATGAAGCTATGGCCTGTGTGATAAGGATAATATTAGATTACTTTACTTTATGGGCTGGGTAAAGTCATGGACTGTGGCTAGCTGCTCTCTGGTCAGAGTGAGCACTTGGAGGTATTACATGAGTCCCTGCATTTTTTGTTAAAGGGGGCTAAAGATTAAATAGAGAATCAAGAATGTGGCGATACGGACAAATATGGAAACCAGTAAATAAACTGCATGTCAGTGGTTAGGTTGTATTAACAACCAAACTACTCAAGAAATTAATTAACTTGTTTAGAAATATGAAAAAACAATGCTTTGATTAATTATTTTTTAATTCAATTACCTGGTTAGAAATTCTTAAAATGACATCCCTGCCTCCTTAAAAGAAAAATCTAGAATATATGAATATGCCACTTCAAATTTCTGTATGTTTCCAAAACCTCTCGATGCAGTATTAAAGTTTCCACATTACACTTGTGTAAGATGCCTATTGGAACAAGATCGGCTTTTAAACTAGTTGAGATCTTTCAGAATCGCTCTTGCGGGTACAGGACAAAAAGTCACCTCAGACATCCTTCCCTTACAATAAAATATCACGCTTCAACAGCTCCAAACTACTCAGTAAAGGCTCCTTAATTATAAATTCACATGAACGTTACCTCAAACCAGACCATTTCAGAAAGTTGCAGCAAAATCTTGGCACAGAGGGGGTTCACCTCCCTGAATCCCTTACCAACAAATAAATATAATTTAACAATCAGCTCTAAATAGTAGCTTTTAATGTTAAAGTCTATATTGGCAAACAAATAAGGTGTTTGGTGCTTGAGAGGTTTACAGTTTGCCAGTAAAAGTCTAACATTTGAGTCAAGTCAAAGTCAGCTTTATTCTCAATTTCTGCAATACATACACAGACATATTGAGGAATTGAAATTGCTCATACTCTCGGTCTCCCCAGCAATACAGATTTAAGTAAAAAGTAGTAAACACTGAATAAAAA